TAAAAACCTGAGTAGTATGTGAAGGTTTGTTTCTGGGCTCTTTTATTTCAAAAGTACATTTGATATATACTTTTTTAAATTTTTAAATGGTGGTTTGACCCAGTTTTGAAGCCCTGGCAAGTGGACTTTCAGTTCCCCTTCTGGAGCAGCTGATTAAAGTGCCAGGTATGTGGGAAGCTTTTGTGAACTGTGTTGCACTTTCAGACCTGCCTGCGGCCTTTGCTGGAGTTCTGTCACTACCCGTATTTATTACAGAGCCCATCCTCCTTCTGTTAGCTGGCAGGGAGCCACTGTGTCTCTGTCACCTTAGTCTGTGAAAAGCTCAGGGGGAGCAGACTGCTCTGCCCTCTCACTATCTAGAGTATTTATCAGGCATCTGAGCCCTTTTGGCAAGGCCTCCTTTCTTCCCCCAACCTGGTTTGGGTGTGAACATCACAAGGACTTGAACTGGCTTCAGCTGGCAGCTTACAGAGGTTTCCCTTCTTTGGGAGCATTATTGTCTCATGTGGCTTGTAATAGATTTTTCCAGTCACCTGGTCCTCCCATGCGGGAACTCCCCGCTCACTCCACTGGCTTTTGTAATAATAAAGGTCTTATTGTTTAAGCTACATTTAGCTTCTTGGGCTTCTATTCACTGTTTGCTGTGGTTGAGAACAGAATTGGACTCTGCCAGAATGAAAAGGTAAACGGGCTTTGTTGGATGCTCTACTGTATGTGTTTTAGAGGAAATAGGAGGATAAAGAACAGCTCTCAGTCCAAATTTGGCTCAGTTTGTATTGCTGCANAAAAAAAAAAGAGTGATGGCTGTGGAGATAGAGTAGGATGTGTTTTGCACAGAGCTGCCCACATTTTCTGATACGGAAAGTGAGATGGAAGTGGGGAGTCAGGGACAGCCTCAAGGTGTTTGGCCTTGTTTGACAGAATGGATATCAGTTAGGATGTAGGAAGTCAGCAGTAGAAGGAATTTTCAGAGAGAATATGAGGAATCGGGTTTTGGCCACATCACAAATGTTCCAGAGACTCTGAGCAGACCCACAGATCTGGAGTTAGTGAAGACGTTCAGGTTGCAGACAGCACAGTGTAGTGGTTGGTGTGTGGACCCTGCTGAAGCTGTGGGTCAGATTTCAGAGGACGCACCTTTATGTGTAGGTGGTAGTGCCATTAGGGACAAGGTAGGGGAAGGAGGGGTCCAAATATATGTCTCGATTGGGCATCTGGATGGTGGTGGTAAGCGCCACAAATATGTATAAGGACCTGGAGTGGCTGTGTGTGTGTGCCTGTGAAGGGAAGGGCGCAGGGTCAGAAAGCCTGAGGGGCCAGTAGACATGAGATGGATGCTGAGTCTTCTCCATGTAGGTCAAATGTCAGTGAGGTCAGGGCAGGGTTTATTACCCCTCTATGGACTCAGCAAGGTTTTGTGGTGACCCTTGCTTGGATTGTCTTATTCAGGCTGGTAGAGTAGTTAAGGGGAAAATGGGATCAGCCAGAAGTCTTACTAGTCTAGGGCTTTGAATAAGGGTTAGGTAGGGGAAGAAGGTCAAGACTGCTTATGAGACAGCTGTGCAGTGCAGAAGTGGGAGAGAGCCAGGAACCTTGAGATCCTCATGTGGGTTTCTGTGGCTGGTTTAAAGCAGGGAACAGGGTTAGGTGGGGGGACATGCATATAAGGGTGTGGTGCTCTCTGGTCCTGGGGAACTGGCGTTCTGGGGCCAAACCGGAGCCGATTAGAATGCTGGTTGCACTA